TTTGTCCTCAGACTCAATCTTCCTGGTCCCTCATGTTCTCCTCTCCTATAGTTCTATTTTTCCTAACTCCCTCTCCACTCACTGCCCACCCTATGCTCCTAAAATGCTCAGGAGATCTCATGCCTTGCCCCTTCTGTGGGAGACCTTGTATGTCTCTCTTAGGTTCCTCCTTGTATCCTAGATTCTCTAGCAGTGTGAATTGTAGTCTGATGGTCCTTTGCTCTGTGTCTAAAATCTATATATGAGTGAATATACACAATGTTCTTCTTTTAGTGACTGGGTTATGTCACTCAGGATGATTTCTACTATTTCCTTCCATTTACCTGTGAACTTAAATATTCCATATTTTTTTTTTTGCTGAGTAGTACCCCATTTTGTAAATGTACCACATTTTCTTTATCCATTCTTCAGTTAAGAGGCATTTAATTTGCTTCCAGTTTCTTGCTATTACAAATAATGATGCTATGAACATAGTAGAACAGATGTCCTTGTTTCATGGATGTGGATCATTTGGGTATATACCTAAGAGCAGGATTCCAGGATCCCATGGTAGACTGATTCTCATTTTCCTGACGAAGCTCCATACTGACCTCCAAAATGACTGTACAAGATTGTACTACCACCAGCTGTGGAGAAATGTTCCCCTTTCTCCACATACTCTCCAACAGAACTATCATTGGTGTTTTATTTTTATTTTAGCCATTCTGATAGAAGCAAGATGGTATCACAGAGTTGCCTTGATTTGTATTTCCCTGGTGGCTAAGGATGTTGAGCACTTTCTTAAGTGTCTTTCAGCCATTTTGTATTTCTTTATTGAGAATTCTCTGTACCCCACTTTTTAGTTGGATTATTTGGTGGTTTTGTGACTAGCTTCTTTTGTTCTTTGATTTTGGAGATCAGCCCTCTGCCAGATATGGGGTTGGAGAAGATCTTTTTCCACTCTGTGGGCTTCCATTCTGTCTTGTTGACTGTGTCCTTTGCCTTACAGAAGCTTCTCAGTTTCAGGAGATTCCACTTATTAATTTTTGATTTCTGTGTCTGTGCTACTGGTGTAATGTTAAGGAAGCAGTCTCCTGTAAGAATTCTTTCAAGGGTACCTCATACTTTCTGTTCTAAGAAGCTCAGTGTGGCTATATTTATGTTGAGGACTTTGATCCATTTGGACTTAAGTTTTGTGCATAGCAATAAAGGGGCTGAGAAAGAAATCAAAGAAACATCATTCTTTATAATAGCCACAAACAACATAGAATATCTTGGGGTAACACTAAATAAACAAGTGAAAGACATATATGGCAAAAACTTTGAATCTTTCAAGAAAGAATTTAAAGAAGATACCAGAAAGATCTTCCATGATCCTGGATAGTTAGGATCAATATAGTAAAAGTGGCAATCTTGCCAAAAGCAATTTACAGATTCAATGCAATCCCCATCAAAATCCCAGCACAATTCTTCACTGACCTTGAAAGCATAATATTCAATTTTATATAGGAAAACAAAAGACTCAGGGTAGCCAAAACAACCTTGTACAATAAAGGAACTTCAGAAAGCATCACCATCCCTGACTTCCACCTCTACTATAGAGCTATAGTCCTGAAAACAGCTTGGTATTGGCACAAAAATACACAGGTAGACTAATGGAATCAAATTGAAAATCCTGATACTAACCCACATACCTATGAGCACTTGATTTTTGAAAAAATAGCTAAAATTATACACTGCAAATAGGAAAGCATCTTCCACAAATGGTGCTGGCATAACTGAATGCTGCTGTGTAAAAGATTGTAGATAGATCCATGTCTATCGCCATGCACAAATCCAGCTTTTGTCCTGTCCATTAGGATTTATGTCCCTCCAACATGATTTCAAATGTTTCCTGGAAGAATCTAACCTTTAGATGCATGCTTCACTTCAGGTTGATCTAAAAGAGTATTCCAATTGCTCAAACTATTTTCAGTTGAACTGATATGGTTGATGAATAATTGTATAGTAAACTCATGAAAATTCACTCATCTTGATTACAGTGATATAAATTTATTTCTAGGTTTCAGAAAACTAAATCTAGTTTTGTTCACTAACTGCTACCAGTAATTGCCATTATGTAACTTACATTGTAACATACCACTTCTGTAGTTTGTACCCTTTTTTTATTATATTGCTTTGCATACCAACCTTCCCTCCTTTCCACCTGTTCCCTCCCCCAACCTTCTTTCTACCCACCCATCCACTACTCAGAAAATGTAAGACCTCCCATGCATGCCAACAAAGCAGGGTATATCAAGTTGAGGCAGGTCCAAGCTCTTCCACCCTGCATCAAGGCATCCCACCATAAGGAATAGGTTCCAAAAAACCAGCTCATGTGCAAGGGACGTGTAAGGGTCTCCACAAGCAAACCAAACTACACAACTGTCACCCACATGTAGAGGACCTAGGTCAGTACAATGCAGGCTCACTAGCTGTTGATTCAGAGTTCATTAACTTCACATCCTCAGGTCAGCTGTCTCTATAGTTGCCCCCATCATGATCTTGATCACCCCACCCCCTTTGCTCATGCAATCCTCCCTCTCTCCCTCTCTTCAACTGGACTCCAAGAGCTTGGCCCAGTGTTTGGCTGTGGATCTCTGCATCTGCTTCCATAAGTTAATGGGTGAAGTTTTTATGATGACAATTAGGCTAGTCATCAATCTGATTACAGAAGGCCAGTTCAGACACTCTCTCCATTATTGCTGGGAGTCTTATTTGGGTCATCCTTGTGGTTTCCTGGGCATTTCCCTGGTACCAGGATACTCTCTAATCCCACAATGGCCCCTTTATCAAGATATCTATTTATTACTCTCCCACTATAGCAATCCCCAATTTAGCTATCTCCCATCCACTCTTTCCCTTATCCCCTGCTCACCCTCAGTTTACCCAGGAGATCTCATCTATTTCCCCTTCCCCAGGCAATATCTTTCTACTTAGGGTTCTCCTTGTTACCTAGTTTCTCTGGGGCTGTGGCTTGTAGCCTGGTTATTATTTGTTTTATATCTAATATCCGCTTATGAGTGAGTGTATACTAATTTTGTCTTTCTGAGGCTGTGTTACTTCATTCAGGGTGATTTTATTTTCTAGTCCCATCCATCTTACTGCTCATAATTTCATAATGTCATTGATTTTTTTCCCCACTAAGTAATAATCCATTGTGTAAATGTACCACATTTTCTTTATCCATTTTTCAGTTGATGGGCATCTAGATTGTTTCCAGGTTTTGACTATTATGAAGAATTCTGTTATGAACATTATTGATCAAGTGTCCTTATATACTTATTGAGTATCATTTGGGTACATGCCCAAGAGTGGTATCAACAGATCTCAAGGTAGACCAATTCCCAGCAATCTGAGAAACTGCCAAACTGATTTCCAAAGTGCTGTACAAGTTTGGACTTCTACCAGAAGAGGAGGAATGTTACTCTTTCTCCACATTCTCTCCAACATGTGTTTTTTATCTCATCCATTCTCAAATGTGTAAGATGGTATCTCAGAGTTGTTTTGGTTTGCATTTCCCTAATGACCAAGGATGTTGAGCAATTTCTTAAATGTATCATCCATTTGACATTCTTAAGTTGAAAATTCTCTGTTTACACCCCGTTTTTTTTAATTCCACATCTGTCATAATTGTGGTAACACAGTTAACATTCCCTGAAGCAGGAAAATAATTGCAACCTCACCTGATTTTAAAAACTTATTTCCTTCCTGCTTTAGCAGTGAGTGGCCTTGGGGCAATCTGCTAGAGTATATAGAAGGCAGTGAGTAAACTGAGATCAGGACTCTAGTACAGCAGCATTCTCCAGTTGCCCATCTACCATTGTGAAAGTTTTCTGAGATGCGGTTTTCTCAGAGTCAACCTTGCTTCTGTAAGTAAGCTCTTACTAATGCTTTTCTCAGCAAATCTGATAAATCCATCATTTCTCCAAGGTTATTAGATGACATACTTTCCTGAGAATCCTATCAGACCTAATGGCTATAAACCATGGGTGTGGTTTGAAAATCTTCAAGTGCCAGGGGATGTTCCCAGAGGAACAAAAAGTAGAGTACAATTGATGTTCTAGAGAATAGGAAATGATAATGTACTGGAGACACTAGAGTCAATGTTTTCAAATTGGCATGACTCTAGAAAGAAGGAAATATGTACTTATTCCTGCATCTTAAACATGAGTTTACTCACTTGAATCAACCTAACATACATGCATATCAAAAGCCTAAAGTAGACAGTGATAGCAGATACTTGTCTTACACTCTATGTCATTCTGGGATAAACTAAATGACACTGCTATGTTAAGTGCTGATGGTACTAAAGTTCTGGAGATGACACTGGTTGGAATCCATGATAGCCATGGATATTTATGAAATGGAGAACAGAGGATTGACCTATTTTAGTTCCTCTTAGATTATGAGAATTGTGCAGCTGAAAATAGGTACTACTTACACACACACACACACACACACACACACACACACACACACACACACGTGTGTGTGTGTGTGTGTGTGTGTGTGTGTGTGTATTTGTAGATAGGAATTTTAATATACACAAAATCAGACTATTGGAAATCAGCATAAATCCCCAATATTAAACTGTCAGTCATGAATGATTTTAAAAGTCCTACTCAGAGGACCACTTTAGCTGCTAGTTCTGCAGCTTTATGTACTCTTTGTAGACTTAGATATTTGTGGTCAAAGGCTGTGCATGGTTCTCTGGAATTTCAAGACACAAGCCTCAACTTCATTGAGAAATTCAACTTCACATACTTCTCCATGTCAGAAGAGGATTAGGAAAATGTGCCAGTGAGTAGAGAGTACAGTGAAGTTGATGTCAAGGCAATAGTGAGGGAAGATGAAGAGGGGGGTGAAAAGTTGACTGAGAAACCAGAATTTCAGACCGGAAGAGCAAACAATGTGGCATTTTGCTAAATGATGAAGGGAAGGATGGGGAAGAAGAATCTGGAGTAGTATCAGTGTAGACAATGAAAAAGAAGGGGTTACTGGGCCAGAGAATGCAAGGAAAAGGCAAGGAAGGTAGATTGCACTCTGCTTTCTTTATTGTAGTGGCACCAAAAGTAAAAGCAGGCTCCAGTTCACAAGTTAAGGCAACAGAGGAAACTGTAGATGAGTTCAAGTCAACTGGTATTAAAGCAGGTATCCAGAGGAACCCTAGGAAATAGGAAAAATCACCAAAGTGTTTGAAAATGCTAAGGAAGTAGATGCTGCATCCAAAGAAGACAAACATTTCCTCAAGCAAGATGAGAAAGAAAAAACCAGAGGCCAATTGTCTCTCCAGCTGCCAACATGCTCTGCTTAGTGGATATATGAACAATGAATGGTCTGAGCAACTGTTTAAACAAAATAAACAGCCAAAAATCAAACAAACAAAAACCAAACCAAAACAGAACATGCACACAATTGAGTAGCTCAAATTGGCCTGGGAGATCTTCAAGAGGAGAAAAGAATTGGTGAAGCACTGGCCATCCAAACTGAGGGCAAGAAGTACACTGAACAGAACAATTTCTGTGTTGATGGGCCACAGGCAATTTGAAAGTAGTGGAGGTCTCAGGCTGAGCAAAATGCAACTTTGACATTCTGGGTGGCAACTTTATCTTGTTGATGGTGTGAGCTGTACTGTGTGTCTGTGTAATAGATCCAGTGTTCATCATGCTTCCCAGTGAAACCTTTTTTTCTATATTGCAGTTTGGTTTATGTATCTTAATCTCACATAGTGTTCATTTGTACAGCAACCACAAAACTTGGCAAATACAGCTATATAAATTAACTATTTAATTGAATATTTTAGTAGTAAATATTTATTTACTAGCACAGATATTCAAGGACACCTGGCAGAAATTATATTAATGCTGATAACCTCTGAGGAATGAATCTCATGCTAGTTTCTCTTTCTATATAGCAGGGGCATGTCTGATGCTGATGGTGTTGAACCTCCTCCTATGGGAGAAGGTAGCCTCTGTTCCCATGCATGCTGTTTTGGCTGACCATGGTGTGATGTCTCTAAAGGACCTTCTTGATCATGCCATCACACTGTCTTATAGTATCACAGAGCTCACTGCAGAAACTCAAAGAATATTTGTAAGTATCTCACTTATATTTGGCTCCTTTACAAAATGAACTTCTATCTAGCAGTTTCAAAGTCTAGGAAGCATGTTGCAGCAAAATTACATAACATATGCCATCAGCAAAAGAAATATTTCTTAACTAAGAAAGGAAACAATCAGAAAAGAGCTTCTTGAAATTTCAAAGAAAATAGAAAATGGCGGAACTATTCGAGAGGTTAGCTGGTGTTGGATGGGATGGGATGGGTAGGAAATGATTACAGAACTGATGCAGAAAACTAGGTGAAATGATCTGTTTGAGTACCTCATTATCCCCATAATCCATAGAAAGCTACTTTCTGTAACACAAGTCTGTACATCCAGTGCTACCACAGTGAGATGGGAGATTGTAACAGGTTGATCCCAAGTCCGGTTACCTTGTTGTAAGCTACAGCAAAGAAAAAGATATGGTAGGTATCTCAAAGGAGATAGAATGCAGGGACCAAAACCTGAACACAGCCTCTGATTTCCCTCCTTCCCTCTCTCTCTCTCATATGTGTGTGTCTGTGTATTTATATATTTATAAATATGTCACAAATATATCAATATTCTGTATTCTTGTTGTGGATTAAGTTACTCATGTCCAAATTAAAATGGATTTTTTTCCAGCTGGAGGATGTGCAATATACACCAAGCCGGTGGTTTCCCGAAAGAGACCTCACTGGCTGCCACACATCTGCCATTTCTGTTTCAATACCTAAGGATGGAGCCCAACATATTCAAGTGAGTACAGCCTCTTCTTTAAGCTGAAGAACTAAGCTGAAGTTGGTTATAGGAAAGAAAATAGTTATGGCTATTACACTTGCAGAAAACTGAAGGAAGAGGGAATAATCAAAGAAAAATCACATTATACAACTGATAAATTAAAAGTAGAACTGAAGATTAAATAATATTGTCATAGAACCATTAACTGTGCATGCAGGTGAACTATTTTACCAATGCCTTTAACCAGGACTATAATTATTATTTTATAGGATACTTTGAACTAAATTGCATATGTGCTTAAAGATATTAATAACTATGTATAAGAAATGAAAATAGTTTCATTAATTATACATATGAAATGCTGCTATGTTTGCTGCTTTGTTGACTTTCAGGATCTCCCCAGTTACATCCAACCTACATGTCCATTCCTCAATAAATTATCCATCTTCTCCCAAGCCTTATCATAAAGTCAGGTAAAGAAGAGGTTCCAGTATAACACTACAGTTTTTAGGATACAACTACATACTCATTTGTGATGCCAATGTTCATGTATCAAACTTTTCTGATTCCTAGCTTTAATCAAACACATCTGAAGTTGATGCCATATCACAGTGTCCAAATGTTGGACCCTAGTGGATCAGTGGAACCCAGTCTAGTCTTTGTTTTCATTACCAAGAGAATAAGTATCATACTGCAGAGCAGCATTTTATTCAGAGATGGGTTTTATATATGACCTTGGCAGTGAGCACACACTTTGAAATCAAATATCCTGTGCTTTCCACCAATCCACTTATTAAAGGCAATGCTGTCCCCCTGATCTTCACCAGTATTTGGTCACACATAGATTGCTCAGTGAGAGAGAAGGGCTGTGTTTCATGCAGCATGAGAAAAGCACACATATAAAGGCCTAGTTGTCATCATTGAATTTTTGTTCCACTGGCTTAAACAAAATGAAAATAATAAATGAGCATATCAGGGAAGAACCTGATGTTTTATTATAAAAGCATCCTAAGGAAAAACCATTTGGGCCACTTGCTACTGAAGTGCAGTGCTGATATCAATTTTATATGAAACATGTCCTATGACCACCTACTCAGTTCCTGGGAAGACTTGGTTACATGTGGAGAAACAAACAAATGTAAAAGAAAAAAAATCAAAGATTACTGCTTAGATCACAGGGATAGATGATAGAAATTCAGTTGGAAACAGGAATATTATAAGATATATCTATCATAAGAAAAATTAGCTAATCAAATATGACATATTTAGTGTGACTCTGTCAAATTATAGACAAACGATTAAATTTAAAATTTCAATGGCTACTGGCATCTACATAAATATAATAAATGGATATTTTAGAACAGTTTCCTTGAGCATACACCACATGAGCTGACTCTGATACCAATTTGAACAATTTTTATACAATTGTTTAATTTTGGATATTCAGGGTGCATTTCTTCTGAAAGAGATGATCGGTTTGTTGGGAACTTGGAAAGACACTCTGTATTACATAGAAACTGTACTAAGTCACATGCAAGATGCTCCCAGTGATATAATATCAAGAGCCAAAAACATAGAAGCAAAAATCAAGGAACTTCTAGAAGCTCTAAAGACAATACTCAGCAAGGTATGCAGTCTTCTTATATTCCTTTGCTTTTCTCATTCATCAGAAAGGTGACCACTGTAGTAAGAAGTGAATGCAGAAATACTTATTTTACAACGCAAAATTTAATGATCCAATGTAAGATATAGCCTCTTTACTAAAGCCTTACTGACAGTGCTATTCATCTCTAGAGTGCTTTACTAAGTATTAACACATCAAGAATCTCAATAAAAAGTAGATGCTCTTTATACTTCCTTGAGCAACTAACTTTTCTTGGCAAAAGGAAAGACTCCTAACATCACTAGATCTCCTCATCACAACCATCATTCAATCATCTACACCTGAAAACATCAGGTGCAGTCCTGGCCAAGTCTGAGATTTCCATTTCATGTATTATTTGGACAATAGATTTAATTGAAAAGTACAGAAGAACAATGGTTCCCTTCAGGATCAGTGAAGCACAGTCTGGGCCATCTCTAAAGACATATTTCAAATCCCTCATAAAAGAACTGACATTGTCCAATAGTAAAGCTCATCTCTATAGGCAAGTAGTAATTTCCTGTTCCTCTCTCTGCCTTGTATGTAAGAAATATTAATTTGGTACCTATTGTATACAAGAAATGTATCCAAGAGTTTCTCTTGTAGAATTTTCATGGCTACTACATTTACACTACTCTGGAACACAAGCATTAAAATTCATGTGTTTGTGACTTTATTATTCAAACTTCATCCCAAGATTTCACTGCTCATTTAAATGAGTAACAATAAGAAAAAACACTGAATGATAAATGATTGCCTTTTGTTGATTAGATTCAACCTGGATTCCCAGAAAGTCATGCATACCCCAACTGGAATGGACTGGCATCCTTGCAGTCACGTGATGAAGAGACTCGTTTTTTTGCCTTATATAACTTTCTCAAGTGCCTGACCAATGATTCACGTAAAGTTTACTCTAATCTCAGAATTCTGCAGTGCAAACTTCTCTACAGAAGAGATTGTTAATATTCCAGCATTCCATACTAATTTTGAGGTGTTTATTTGTTAATCTATCTCGGCTTAACCAATTTGTAATTTGTAATTTTGAATGTATGTCTGTCTGTGAGACATCCTTCATTAAAAATAAAAAAAGATTCTGTGTACCTGCTATTATCTAAAAGCCAAGTTTGTTGACATTTCATTTTTCCCTGAAACACAAATATATCACTAATGTAGATATTAAGGTAATATATCACTAGCATAGATATATAAGAAACAAGTTTTATTCTGCCAGCCAGTTCTCAAATAATGACATAGAGACTTCTTAATTAATTAAGAAAGCTCAGCCTATCACTTAGACTTGTTCTTACCTAGTTCTTAGAACTTAAAAATCTATTAATTTATATTTTGTCTCATGACTTTTTACCTTTCTTTCATTGTAGATGTCTGACTTCCTTTATGTCTCATTGGTGTTTCCCTCATGTACCCAGATTCATCCTGAGTTCCTGCCATCTCTCCTTCTTAGCTTTTTATTATTCAGCTTTACCTTATGCCAATCAGAGCAATCATCTTCATATATTGTACAAATATTCCATAACAGTCATCATTAACAGAAGCTTGATTACATATAAGACAATTCATAGTTTACTTAGAGTCACAGCAAGTCAGTTTGGGTCACCTTATTAATGTAGGTTGATAATGGTATTAGTTAATGGCTCTGTCCTATCAAGACTAAGGAAAACCCCAGATTCTTTTTTAAAAATGGTACACATTGTACATAGGACAACTTTCATTGTGAAATTATAAACACTACAAATACTATGAAACTATACTATGCCCAAATGTTATCAAACTTTTAAACGATGCAGAAAATGTATGGTTACAAACATGCAACTTTCTTCTGTCATGCTCCCCCAAATTTCTCCTGAAATTCATCTTGGGCATCCCCCATATGTTCTTTTCAGTCTTGTCTGACTAGAATATAGTTATTTGGCATAGTTTCAGATTCATCTCATTCAACATAGTACATTCCTCTTGTCTTCTTGTGGCTCAAGTCACATGTCAAAGAAGAGCATGATGATCTATCCCTAAACCATTTCTTTTCACCTTCCTGCCATTGAATATACAGTCATTTAATGCTCTTAAAATAGGATGGTACAATAGAATAAATGGAAAAAATGTTCTATTACTATTTGTTTAGTGAACTTGAACATACATTATTGACAAGATCTCAACATGAATTGCTTCTATTTAAGCAGGAAAATCAATAGCACTCACTTCTATTGAACCCTTTGTTGACTCTCAACCACTTCCCTTCCTGTTTATGGAAACTCATATGGATCAGAAAGTAAAATATGATATGCACAATAAGTCATTAAGACTGAAAGAATTAACATAAATCAGACTATGCCTATTTCAGCTAAAAGTAGAAATTAAACCCTATTTCCTTTAAAGTTTTCTCCTTTTTATCCTAAGCATTCCTCATTGTTCATGATTTTCTTGTCCTGCCAGGTCCCACAGGTACCTCAGCCCCAAATAAGCACACAAAGACTTACATTAATTATTAAACTGTTTGCCAATGGCTAGGGCTTCTTACAGCCTAGTCTCTCTTAATTATTAACCCATTTCCATTAATCTAAGTATTTTCATGTGGTCTTATCTTAGCAGAGAAGGGTCCAGACCGCTTACTCCTTCCTGGGCAACATGGTCTCTTCGTGCCATGTCTCTGCCTCTTCCCCCATCATTCTCCTAGTCTCCTAGCCCCATCTATATTCCTGCATCAACTGGTCAAACAGTGTTGTATTTATCAATCAATAAGAGAAACACATATATAGAAGGATATCGCCATCATGAATATCTACAAATAGGCATATTTTAAATCCCACTGGCACTATGACTAATTGGGAAAAACTCTACAAGGAAGACATGGTGGAATGAGGCACACACTAGGGTATGCCTGGAATTCTTGACACACTAGATGCTAGTACACCCCCAACTCTTCCTCATGGTCACAACATAATGAACTATACTTTAATAAGACCAATGCAACACCTTCAAGGTACCAGGACCTAAAATTCCTTTAAACTGTTAAACAATTATACAATTTCACTTCTTAACGTGATTTCCTCAAGTAGTATCACAGCAATGGAAAGTTTACTAATAATGCTGTATTCTCTCAAATCCACTTGTGATTTTCTTAAGCTCAAGAGATGGTCACCCAACCATCAATGAAAATAATTACTTGTAAGACTACTTTTTAAAATATCACTGCTTTCATTGATAACAGAAAGAACTATTCTAATACCTTGTCAAAAGTATATTAGCAGTATAATGTCTCTATCTTAGCAACTTCTCCACAAACTCAGTAGGCACCCATAATTGTTTCTTATGTATGAAAATCTTTTCCCACAATAATGACCAATATACATGAGGGAAAAGGCAAAAAGCCAACCATGAAAAACATGGGAAACACTTCACCACAGATAGATATGGTAACTTATTTTACTATGAACTACCTTGCCCTTGCATACCATAAAGGATTATGGAAAAATCAAAAATAGAGGAACTTCATGTATTTCATTGAGAAGGAAAGAAAGGAAGAAAGAAAGAAAAGAAGGAAGAAAGAGAGTTTTAAAGCTGGAATATGGTGGCACAGGCCTCCAATCCGAGCAGTCTGGAGGCAAAGGCAGGAGGATCTCTGAGTTTGAAGTCAGCCTGGTCTACAGAACTAGTTCCAGGACAGGTTGCAAAGCTATATAGAGAAACCCTGTCTCAGAAAACCAAAAGACACAGAGAAAGAGTTGCAGGGGGAGAAGCTTATCTCCTCCAATATTTAAAATTGTTTTCCAAAATTACTACTTAGAACTAATCATTTAACTTAATTGTATTAAATAAGTAAATAGATAAATAACATAAAGATCAAATTAAATGATGTAAACTTTTAGGACTCTTTTTGTAAATTATCATTCTGGTTAGCACAATTGGTTTAACAGTTATTGTCAAATGTAGTTCATGGTCATGCTGAGAGAAAAAAATATCTTAAGCATGTCAGATTAAGTGAATAATTCATCTTCAAAAGTCAATAAATAACTACTGATCCTCCAAAATCATAGGTTATTCCAGAGAGGTATTATTGGCCACTTAGCTAATAATACATGTTTCCTTGTCCAGTTTCTCAGCCACTTTGGCAAGTGTTGGGTTCACACTGACAAGCAAAGGATTCTACTGAAGCACATCTGACTGCACTGGATGTAATTTCTAACTGGAAGAGACTCCTAACACAAACAAGATACAAGAACACCAAAGCAGATGAGAACATTCTGGCAGAGTGTAAACTCCAAGGCAAAGCTCACTTTCTGTGTTACATAGATCTGGTATCACAGATCAAGCTTTTGCTCTGTCCTTCAGTATCTAAGTACCTCCTACATGATTTCAAAATGTCTCTTTCTAGCATAAGCTAATCTTCATGCCTGTACTTAAGGTTGATTTTAACAAGAGTGTTCCAACTATACAAACTTTCCAGTAAAATGGAAAGATTTCTATGAAAGTTGTTAAACAAACTCCTGAAGATTTAGTATATATTTCTTATTATGTTTAAAACTGATGCCAGTGTATAGAAACTAAATCTCACTTATTCAAGTCTTACAATATTATATAGTTTAAGTTGTAGCATACATATTGTTACTATTGCACTATAATTTATAATCCATACAGAGTTTTGAATGAAGAACAAAATATATTGAAATTACACATGGCTGTTTTGGTAAGGGCACTCATTTTTAAAGCCTGATGTTCAATATGATCTAAATGCATAAGCAAATATATGAAATTTTATATAGTCATCAAACAGAATAATATTTTATATACAATTTAAATACAAGCTTTTATAACTACAGAAGCAGCTGGGAATAAAATTATGTCTCTATAGACATGCATAAGAGCTAGTAAGATCAGTGACTAATAGTGATTAGACCTTTTATTTTTCTGGTTGTCAATTTGTCAAATCAAACACTTTTTAATTGAAATTTCATATTAGAGTCCTTTCTGGAATAATACAAATCCCAAGACACACTAAAAGTACATTAATTATGTAAACAATGAACTTAACTCACTATGGTTAAAATGATACATCCTCATTTTTATTGATAATTATAGAATAAATGACAAGTACTCAAATATGAAAGCACCAAAAATCACAGCCAGTCAGGGAGGGATAAATATTCTTGTGTTATCGAGTATTTTTAAGCTTTACAGACCAAGAATGGTTCTAAAGTATCAAGTCCTTTCTATCTGATTAGTTTTTCCTTTGACTATTTATATTCCTTTAGTTGAGACAGACTCTAGTCCTATCTTTACACAAGAAATCTTAGACCTGCTTGGTATAATTCTTCCCAGTAAAGATGCAAAGGAAATCATGAGATTTGATTCATGTGTGAAGATTTTAAGCTTTTATCATCCAAGGATCAGAAAAACAAGAGGTAAACACCTAAATTTTATGTGGAGATAATCCTAACCAAGAAAGTGAAAAATCTAGTGCTTTACCATCAAAATTTTACTGAAGGCAAAAGTAAAGAAGACTCTATTATAACTGGCAAATTTTGTCAAGTGAAAATGTGAATAAAGAAAAAACAAAAACAAAATACAGAACAGATTGAAGGTTCAGTGCCCTTCCCCTCAAAAATTCTAGTTTTGTTCTTCAGGAATAAAGAAGAATGAGAGAGAGATATAGCAGTGTGCAGTGGGAGAAGGAATGAGTTTTATAATAATAATAACTATTACAAAAGATTTTAATGAAGCATATTACTCAATTAAATATTTCAAAATCAATAATAAAAGAAGAAATAAAGCTATGGGTAAGAAAAAGAATGGAAATGAGCATTATTCCATTATTAATTAAGGAAAACAATTCCTCACAGGCTTGTTTCCCTGAAGGGATCACACTACCTTTCAAGCTGTAAATCTAGGAGATGGAGGAACTTAAAAACTTCACCAAGGTTATAAAATCTAAATTTTAATTAAGTTTCTCT